GCTGCCAGACCTGCTGAGCTTTTCCAGCAATTTTGTTTTTGTTCCTGATTTACAGCATCCGCAGTTCTTTTGGTTTTTATTCTTGTATAGTATGTTATACAAGGGGCTGGAGGTAGTATGATAACCAATCCATTTGAAAATGGGTATTCTAACCAAAATGTTTGAAAACCAAATACCTTTTGACTGCTTACATTCCATTAATTAAAATAAATCTTTTAACAAGATTTGAAATGGAAAGAACTTTGTTGAACAAACTTGACACATTTTGCATTTGCATTTTTGTTTTAGGAAATCTACCCTCCAAAACTAAATGAGTTTGCATATGTCACAGATGGTGCATGTACAGAAACTGAAATACTTGATATGGAATTGATCATTCTAAAGGTAAGCAGTCACATCACATCACATATATTTGGCATTTATTGACATTGTTGATAAGATGAGAATGAAAATTCAAGATGTGGCGCTAAAGAAAGATTTGTATTTACTGTGGATTTTAAGGAACAGATTGAAGTAGTGAGGTGGAGAGAATTTTGGGGACTGAATTAGTTTGCATAACTTGTATGGTACAAAACCGTAGTTAGGACAAAAGGGAGAAGGATTCAAATGAAGTAGGATTGTGAGAACTCCGTTCTCAAAGGAGTTGTAGTGATGGATACAATTGGAGCTCATAGAACATTAAACATGAGAAATTAAATTTGAGCATTAGGGGGCTGGACATCAATAGAGCTTAAGTTCAGAGGTGATCATGAAAGAGCAGGACTTTAACCAAAATTGGATACATGGAGTGGAGCTTATGGAGAAATTTAAGAAATGGAGTGGTTTCATTATTGAATAAAATTGTGGATACCCACCTTTGTCCCATAATTCCTTATCAATTGACTTATCCTTATCAACTTTTATTTCTGGAAGAGATTTTCCCCCTTTTTTCTCCTATAGTTTCCATGTAGAAATGTCAACCTAATTTCATTCCTGGAATGTTCTGCTCAAGTTTGACCAGGGAACTTAACTCCTCAACCAGTGAAAATGGGGAAATTTGTTATTTCTATTTTGTTCCCCTTACTGTTTGAGAACTTTGATCAAATAACTACTTAAAGTTAAATTTCAAGCAAACAACCCTAATTTGACTGATCTATAATAATTTAACCTTTGGAGTCCAAGTAACAATTTTGTAAATCTGTACTGAATTCTCTTCAGCATATGTATATACTCCCTAAGGTGTCATGCGAAGAACTGCTTACAATGCTCAAGCTGTAGTCTATCCAGAGCTTTGAAAAGTGAAAGAATGACTTCCAACCCTTGTATTCCAGCCATCTAGATATAAAGAGCAGGATTCATTAACACTTTTGGTTATTTTCTGTACCTGTTCACGAAACTTTCATGAGCTATGTCGCTGCCCCTTGAGTGCTGGAGTATAAAGAATGGGAGGCAGGGAAAAACACCAGTCAGTGGAAACACAGATATGAAATTGGTCAAGGGGACAAAAGCAGAACAGCAGTGAACTTTTTTATTTACTGAAAGGAAGTATACATCTGGTTTTGCTTGGGGGTCCGCTTGTAATAACTGCTGTTTTAAATGTATATAAAAAATACAAATACCTATCTTGTGTATAATATATATTAACTGAACTTGGGTGCACTGGACAGACTTTAAAGACTTTGGGACATAAATTTGTGAACTGGGAAGACATGGCAATGAGATTCAACACAGCAGTACAAAATGTTTTCGGTGGAATGGAGGGAGATAATTTGGCTGAACTGATTAGTATTTATGGGATGAAGGAATAGAGACTGGGTGAACAAACACAAGGCTTTCAAGATAGTGGGGCTAATGGAGAAGTTTTTTTTTAAACAAAGACATGGATTCTTAAAAACAGAGGAAGCTGTCAAACTCCTATGAGAATCTCCTGTCTAATGTTGTAATTACATAACAAGAGTGCTAGGGAGAATGCTGACAAAATTACAAATAATGGCTCACGCTGCTATTTGTGTATATTTCTTTTTTAAAGGCCTTAAACTGGGAGCTGCGTCCAGTCACTATTATTTGCTGGTTGAATCTTTATCTTCAAATTATCTGTTTAAAAGAAATACCCAACATGTCGCTGCCGCAGTATTCTAAAGAAACCTTTATACAGATTGCTCAGGTAATTACTTAACTTCAGTATTGTGAAGTGAGTGCCAGCATTGCCTTTTAAAATTCTACAACAGTCCTCAATGTCTTTTTTTTCTGCTGTGCAGACAAATTACTTTAATGTGAAGTTACTGTATTGATTGACCGAAATCATGAGTGATTAATGAATTAATTCTGCACTTCAATTTGAATATTTTTTTTTGTCTATACATAATTTTTACACTTGAGACCATTATTGGTGCCTTTGACATCTTTCCTATCTAAATATCTTTCTTTTGAAACTCAAGCTTTTAATGAAAATGAATTGTATTTTGCTAAACTATAGTTCAGCAATATCTGTAGAGTGACTTCAACTGAATGGTGCTAATACTTTCAAATAGGAAACATTTTTTTCCTCATGTAGACCCTGTCAGTGATGCTGGATATTTGCTTGCAAGGTGCAGTGGCTGCTACACTGTTTCTGGCCTCTTCCTGTTCTTGGTGCCACTGTAATCATCAAATCCCTACTGTGTGGAAGCAAGCCATTCAGCTCATCAAGTCCATACTGCCCCTCTAAAGAGCATCCCAGCCCCCTACCCTATCCCTGTTACCCTGTATTTACCATTGTTAGTCCACCTCGCCTGCACACTATGGGCAGTTCAACGTGACCAATGCACATTTTTGGACTGTGGGAGGCGACCGAAGCACCTGGAGGAACTCCATGCAGGCATGGGGAGAATGTACAAACAATCATCTGAAGGTGGAATCGAACCCAGGGCCCTGGCACTGAGAGGCAGCAGTGCTAACCATTGAGCCACTGACTAATATTGATCGAAGTTTGAATCCATTCCTCTCACCTGGCTCCACTTTCAAAACATTTGTCAAATTGTACATCATCAAATGTGCCCTTGCTCACCTCCCTCCATTTTCTTCCATTTCTTGCTCTGCTCATTTTACCCCATCCTTTAGCATCTGTGGATATATCTATGACTTTCTATTGCAGAACTAATTTTCATTGCACTTATGAAAAATCCTCCTCCTCGTCCTCCTTCACTAACATCTGCACTTAAACCTTGACTGAATGTGGAATCTATTGAAGCGATTTGCTGGTGATAACAGTCTGCTGGAGTGATCCACATTATTTTTTTTCAAACTTTTGTTTTAGAACGTAGATGCTAAAATGTACCACTGAGCCTTTGCTGTTCTTAAAGTGTAAATTTTGAGAACAGTGAAATCTTGTTGCTCATCTTTTCTTGAACTTTCTCTGAACAGCTTTTAGACCTGTGTATCCTTGATGTTGAGAGTTTGAGTTTCCCGTATGGTATATTGGCTGCTACTGCTTTGTGCCACTACACTTCTACAGAAGACACTTTCAAGGCATCAGGTGCGGAGATTCTTGCTACTTCAGATGCATAGTTGATTGCTTATACGTGATTTTAGATTTCATTCTGTAAAGCTCCAAACTCAGCAAATTAAGTACACTTAACATTGTAGGCACTGTCTGAATGAGTGAGGGCAAATTACAGGAGACTGGTACACTCTGTGTCTGTCCCTTCAATGAACAGATGGTCAGATTTTGTTTGGACTGGAGATTGTTGGTATGAAAGGTAGGAACTGTATAACACTAATCAGCACCATAAAGGTCTCTTAGACTAGTTTCAGTTCAGTGGCTTAAGGAGTTCGGGAACTATCAAGATTCAGCCACAGCTCAAATCCTACAGTATTTTGCTGCTATTTTTCAGTCTTGTTTTATTATCTTTCATTGATAATTGCATGGTTTTCTGGGGTGGGAATTGATATTCTAGTACATGGAATGAGGGACAGGCTGAAACGTACAGTGTTTTTATTCTCTAGTACGTCACAGCAAATGTTGTTAGCATTGGGGAAAGTGGTGGTATAGTGCTAATGTCACCGGTCTAGTAATCTAGAACCCCAGGTTAATGTTCTGAACGCATGGGTTAAAACTGAAATATGAATTAAGGTTTTTTTTTAAAAAAGCAAGTGGCATAGAAAGCTAGCCGAATGGCAACCATATCACCACTATCGTTGATTAGTCATAAAAATCCATCTGCATCACGAATATCTTTATACGGAAGGAAATCTGCCATCTTTACCTGGCCTGGTTTAACCCTTAGAATGGGCAATAAATGACGCCCATTTCTAAAAAAGACCGGGCATTAGATTGAAACTGTCCAAATTTGGCCTACATTGGGTGATTTTTTATCTACAGTTTTGGGCTATGTTGGAACCCAGATTCCTGAGGTGAGACAAAAGTTCAGTCCAGTCCTAATCAATGCAATATATACAAGGTCAGTATTTGATACAAGGACTAGCTATATATACAAATGGACACAATGCATGGAACGGTGTATTTGGCACGTACAATGGATCTGGCTCTAACCTGCTTTGGCTGTTCTGCAGGACTTTCAAAACATACAATGTGATCTTGCCTATAAGTGTTTGAGTGCATATTAAAGAGTAGATTCTGTATATGAGAATGTAATTTATTTTTCCCCTCTGCATAAACATCAATGAATGGCTCGAGGTTCTGTAATTCACTTTAGGTTATCTTGAAAAATGTGCGCACTATATCTAAGCAAGTTTGATCTTTCTTCTTGGGTGCTAATGCTAAATTGCTGATCTTTATCTTGGGTGCAACTCCACCCCTGAGTCTAGGCCAATGGAGTGGTATGGAACCCATAGGGGTTTTCAGGTCTGCAGTTAGTTTAGCTGAGATAGAATGGTTTTAAGGTACCTCATTTGATGACTGCATCCATTAGAGGAAGTAACATACGTTTGCAAGATTAGTGGAGAGATCCAATGTAACAATGTTCATGTAATGATTCCCCTCCAAGCTGGTGTACCACTCTTGGTTTATAAGAGCATGTCGTGTAGCATATTTCTATGCTAGTCAGAGAATTACACCATTCATAAGAGTTGAAAGATTGTTCATGCTTTTCACACTGTAAGCACCTGACCTGATGTGCACAAAGATGTGATTAAAAATGAGCAAAACCTGGGATATGTAATAGGAATGACTGCTGCAATACACATATTCAGTGTGGCCTCCTGGAACCAATATACTTGATCTTCAAAGATAACAAGATGTAGAGCTGGATGAACACAGCAGGCCAAGCAACATCATAGGAGCAGGAAGGCTGACGTTTCGG